AACAGTGTGTCTCTTGGAGATTTTCCTCTTTAGTCCCCAGTGGCCAAGTTCACTGACAGAGGGGAGGTGGTGGTCATGTTGTTGGGACAGTAGAGCTACCGGTGGCCTATCAAGTGGGCATGCGTCTCTTTGATGCTCCAGGACAGGCCTAGAAAAAGCCTGGCCATCTGTCTATTACCTACCCATGAGAAATGCTGCCCAACTTGTTTGTTATTTCCATCACCCTTATGCTCCACCGAGCCCCATGTGGGACACAAGGAATCTATTCATGAACTGGGTGGCATTGCCCCTTTTACTGCTCTGGATGGGTCATGTCGGAGTTGGTGTTGCCTGTTCCTAACAGCAGGGCTGCTGTTTATAGTTGAGATCCAGGGAAGCTCAGCAACACCAGGGAACAAAGCTGGGGCTGTGGCCCAGCCTGGAGGGAGAGCCAGGGGCTTATTCTAAAGCTCATGCTGAAAGTGCTGCACCTTGACATTCTTACAGTTTCCTGTTACCCCAGGGACACAGCCAAGTGGTCTGCACCTGTTCATGTGTTCACAGATGCCTTCATTCAAAACACGGACTTCAGGAAGTAGATCCTGGTCTATCTGAGGCCTGAGGTTTGCTCCCCAGCACTGCAGAAATGCGGAGTTGATTTGATTTACGCAGAAGGCCCTAAATGAGGTCCTGCAGAAACTTGCAGTCTAGTGGGAGCATAAGATACACTCTATGATTCCCCAGAAGTGACCAGTACAGTGAGTAACTAACTAGCTGTGCTATGTAGGTTCTGAACGTGGCTCATAACAGCTGTGGGGGAAATCTGCAATGGCTTCCTAGAAGACTTGTGTTCATTCAACAGCATTTCTGGAGCAGAGGTCTTACAGCTCCCTACTTGTCACAGGCCTTGAACTACAAGGTTCGCCCTCGTTCTGCTGTTATACAATAGTGGGGGGTAAGGTACAGAGGCAGACAGTGAACCAGCCAATAAAGGCACAGAAGGGACACTTTGCTGAGGGAAATAAGTACAGAGAAGGATGGATGTGTAAAGCTCTATCTGTGCAGAGGAGGAGGGTGGGCATTCCAGAGTGTAAAAGAGGGCACAGGTCCTGAAGCTGTTGAGGAGTGAGAGCTGGAGAGAAGACTCGGAAGGGAAGCAGGGTAGGAGGCAGATCGGACATGAGCTAAGGAACAACCATTGTGTCCTTGGGTAGCAGGGAGCCAGGGCAGGTTACTGTTCAGGGCAGCAGTGGATTGGAGGTTGGAAGACCCCAATTAGGATGTAACAGTGTAGGATCATCTGAGGTGGGGAGAGCAGAGTGACCTGGATGGGAAACAGGAAGAGAGAATGAGGAGGTCATGGCAGAGATGGGGATGAGAGAAGGGGAGAGAAAGACGTCTATGGATGGGCGCTTAGCAACACGCTACTCCTCAGTGACACCGGTGACTCAGTTGTTCCTAGGATGGATATGCAGTGAATGAAGGAGAGGTAGGCACTTCTCAGAAGGCCTCTGGGTCGGGGGAGGGGGCATGCCTTGGTGTGCAGCATCCCCCTACTCCCCCATCTTTGTGCCTAAAATAAGCAGCCTTTGGTAGGGTTGCCAGGTTCGGGATACAAGGGCAGGATTCCCCGTTAATTTTAAATTCCAGGAAAACAACAACACCAACAACAATGAAATGAATGGAATTTTACAGTGTTAAGTGTGTTCCATACACAGCATGGGACATACTTAGACTATTATTCGTTGTTTGCCTGAAATTTGTATTTAATGATGTTTTGTACTACCATTCTACTCTAGTAGCAACCTATATGAAGACGCTGCCAACCGTGTTCTGAGAAACCATGGTTCCTTGCGGGCATGCCTATGTGTATGGCAGAGCCAGAAGGTTTGTGTATCAGTTTTTAAAAATAGAAACAAATAAGCAAATCAATTAGAATGAGTCAAGTTTGAAGCTGTCTTGTCAGCGTGGACGGAGCCACTTTCCCTATGGCGGCTTGACAGGCAGGGGTGGACTGCTGGTTGGACAGCGTGTCTGCTTACGACAAGGAGACGGTGGCATCCCGAGGCGGCAGGCTCTCTCCTTCCCAAGGTCAGTGGGAGTCACACACCAGGGTTGAGGCTGATGTGATCTCAAAACATAGCTGTGCTCACATCTACAAGCAGGAGGGCTCCCAACGGGAACACGTGTCTGATGTCCCCTCCCTGTCCCTTGTCTAGTACCTGCGAATGGAAACACCTGTGAACACCAGGGTGCTGTGGCTCTCTAGGAGCTCACATGGGGTCTTCAGAGTCAGGTTGTCTGTCATTTGTCCTGAGAGGAAGCAGGATTCCTCTGGGATGTCAGGATGTGTCAAGATGTCCACCAGAGATGACTGAGAGTATGTTAATGCGCCCTCTGCTTGGAATCCATGTGAGTTATGCAGGGGAGATGGCTTCTCAAGGCTTTGAAGCTTGTCTCCAGGGAGAGGAATAAAAAGGCCAGTCTAAGAACAGATCTTGTGGGGTTTGGACCTTGTGTGGACTGGGAATCCCTGATGGTGGGTGTTGAGGGTGCTCACCTCCTGGACTTAGGGGACCTAGAGAGGTATTGTGGGGAAGTAGACCCTTGCTTCAAAGATACCCAGTCCCTGGGAAAGACCTCCCAGCTACAGAGAAAGGGCCCGTGATGCAGAGACAGCCTCCAAGCCTGGATCCAGAGAGCATCTTCAATGAACCAAACAGGTTATTTTTTTCCCTGTCTGTTACTGCCTGTTGTCTGGCACCGAAATCTGCTTAGACTCAGTTGTGGGGAGTTCAAGGTGGAATCAGTCTGGACCAGCCCATGCAAGTTTCTTTTAGGAAAGTGTGATCTCCCTCCTTGAAATTCTAAGGCCAGGCTCTGGGTGGGTCAAAGACCTGCTTTCTCTGGGTAGGAGATGGAATGGAAAGAATTGAGACTTTACAGCTGGACTTGGGTACGTCTTTTGACTCTACTCAGTGGCTAGATGACTTTAGGGCAAGCACTTAATCTCAGCATGCCTCAGTTTCCCACCCGCGAAGGCAACTGGTAACAGTGAGAGGCAGAAGGAGAACACGCAGGGTGTGTGTGGCTGGTGAAAGTTCTGACACATCCTTCAAGCACATCCCTTGAGCCAGGTGCTCCCTGGAGGACTTCCACTGTGAGAACGCAGTCGTCATTCAGGCTGGATGAGCCCCGTTCTGGAGGCACCTAAAAGAGAGGCTCCTGTTAACTTTATTTTACTATTTCCTTTTCATACTTTTTTAATTGAATTTTTTTTTCATATGATGGATTCTCATCATGGTTTTCCCTCTCCCGACTCCTTCCCATGCACCCAACTCCTTTTCTTTTCTTTTTCTCTTTAGAAAGCAAGCAATCAAACAAATAGAAAATCAGAATTAGAAGAAAAACCACAAGAAACATACACACACACACACACTGTAAAAACACAAAATCAGACACTATAATGTACAAGCAAAAGATGAGTAAGAAAAAAAAATCCAGCCAGGCGGTGGTGGCGCACTACTTTAATCCCAGCACTCGGGGGGCAGAGGCAGGCAGATCTCTTTGAGTTCAAGGTCAGTCTGGGCTACAGAATGAGTTCCAGGAAAAACGTGCAAAGCTACACAGAGAAACCCTATCTCGAAAAACAAAAACAAAAAAAAACAAAAAAAAAAAAAAAGGAAAAAATGTTCAAACAAAGCAATAGGAGTAAAAAAGTCTACAGTGTACAATATACAAAAACACCATTGAGCTTGTTTTGTGTTGGTCATCTACAGCTGGGCATGAGGGCTACCCAGTGGGTAATACACCCAGCGAGACTCCATCAGAGAAAACTGAGTTTTCCAAAGCAATTGCGTATCAATTGTGGATAGCTTCTTGGTTAGGAGTGGGAGCCTATGTCCACCTTTTCCTTTCAGCGCTGGGACTCCATCTGGCTTGAACCTGGGCGTGCTGCCACAGTCTCTGTGAATACATATATGCATCAGTCTTGTGTCGGAAGACAGTTTCTTTGGAGTCCCCCTCCCCCCAGCTCTTACAGTCTAAATGCCTCTTTCTCTGCCTAGCTTCCTGAGGCCATCTACAGTGGTGACCTGTCTGCAAGATATGTGGGTGCAATAGCAGCACAAATGTGGTGGGAATAACCAGTTACTCTCTGATTGGATTTAAGGCCCATTCCATGGGATGGAAACCATGCCCGACACTGCTTAGTGTCTGCATAGGCCACGGGCCTAGGGAAAAAGCAAATACTATTCTGCTAAAGGAACATAGCAACAAAATGACCCCTGATGACATTCTGCTACACCCATACATCAGTGCCTCGCTCAGCCATCATCATATAAGCTTCCTTTTGCAGTAGATGGGAACTAACACAGAGCCTTGCAACTGGGCAATGTGCAGAGCCCGAGAGATTTGAGATTCTCAGTCCTGAGTGGGATGACGCCATGAGATACTCCTGGTTCCCACTGTTAGTTTTGTCTGTTAGCAGGACAGACCCATGTACCTAGTAAACAGCAGGGCTGAGGGCCTGGTAAGTTCTATAACATACAAAGCCCTGAGCGAGGGAGGTAGGATTCACTTGGGCTGGGGATGGGTGACAAGGTGGTGGTGGGTTTTAACTGGGCTTTGAAGGACTGAGAGGTGTTCTGGTGGAAGATCCACCTCAACTCCCCTCCCCCATCTCTTTCCCTAAACCCGCCCCTTCAAAGCCCACCAAACACAGCTCCAACCCCAGAGAGGCTCAAGACCACTCCCACAAGGTATATAAGTTGTATCCCAGAAAACAGACCCTTGGTTCTTCCGGTCTCTCCTCTCCTCTCTGCGGGACCCGGGAACGTTTCACTCATTAAACCGCGCCTTTTCCTAATTTGGTCTGATTTGGATTGCTGCGTCCTTGGAGAAGCCTATCAGGGTGTAAAAACTTATCAAGAGGTGGGTGGAGGTGGGAAGGGAGAGCTTCAGACAGAGCTTAAGCAGTGGAGAGACTGGAGAACAAGATGTTTGGGAGGAGCTGTGGATCCTGCTGTGCTGCAGCTTGGCTGCGGGCTGAGGGTGGGGGGGTGTGCGCTGAGGGGCAGGCAGTCCCAGAGCTGGCCACAAGGTGGGATGGTCATTCTAATTCCTGAGGCATTTTGAATGGCACTTGCCAGCCGCACGGTAAGTGGGCTGTGATGGGACAAGTTTAATGGGGGATGAGGAGGGGTTGGCAACAAAGGGAGATCTGGGTGCTCTGAGGGGGCACGTGGCCATGGGCATGAGGTGAGGTTAGCACAGTAGCTCTCAGATGCAGGGCTTCCCAGATGCCTCTGAGGACCCTGGACTGAGGAAGGAGAGAGGGGCAGGTACTTCGGTTGTAAGTAATGGAAATGCACTCTGGACTTCAGCACAAGGGAGTTTGTTGGGGAAGTATCTAGTCTTGGCCTGAGGAGCTGGCCACTGAGTGAGCAGAATCTAGGGGACTTGTTGGACAGGGGAGTCAGCTAGGGGCAGAAATACCAGAGTAGAGGATGCTGGGATTGCCCGTGTTCCTTGATACTCAGGCTCCCTGCTTGAGGCTTGTGCTCAGCAAAGGCTCCGCCTAAGAGCCTTTGGCTTGGAGAAGGCAGGGCCCTCCCTGCCTGTGATCCCTCAGGGAAAGTAATTTTATACACAAAAGACTGTAATGCTATGTTAATGACCTTTCCAGTCACTGTGACAAATACCTAGAGCAACTTAAGGAAGGGTTTATTTCAGTTCCCAGTCCGAGGGTCCATCATGGCGAGGAAGTCATGGCGACAGAAGAATGAGGCAGCTGGTCATATAGCTGGTCCAGAGCCAGCAAATAGGGATAGAGATGGGATGCTAATGCTCAGCTCGCTTTCTTTTTTATTCATTCCGGGACCTGTTGTGTAACAGTTTCCTCTGAGATGGAAACATTCTATTCTGCAGAGAAGCTCCTTAAGCCGGAAGGTAAACAACTCAAAATAGCTGAAACCCACCAGATTCCCTGGGCCCCTCCCTGCCAGAGTAAGCAATAAAGGCGGAGTGTTCTCTCAGAAGAGCGGAGCAAACTCCAAAGAAGACCTGGGACCAGACCAGCTGCCCGGAAGAAGCAGAAACCAGCGGAGCTGCCTGGAAGAGGTTCAGACCAATTAACTGAGGCACGTGGGAAGGACCCTCTCCATTCTGTTGAGCTGCCCGTAGGCTGTGCAGTCAGCTCCAGGTTCCCAGCTCTGTGAGCTGTCACCGGTGCTGGGGAGGGCTCTGGTGATGCAGCTGCCTTTGAGACATTTCTGCTCCTGTAAGTGACTCCTCCCCTATATTCCTGTAAGCAACTCCAGTAAAACTTAGGGTTCACCACGTGAGACTTTGGTGTTGGCCATACTTTGGTCTGTCGTGGGCTCCCTTTCTGGAGAAGGTAGAAAATGTTTCTCTCTTGGGAAGGTTTTGTCACACAGCAGGATCCTAGTCCATAGAATGGTGGACACATCCCTTTAGGGTGGGTCTTCCCAATCTGGAAACTCCCCCACAGACATGCTCAGAGACTAATCTCCCTAGTGATTCTAGACCAGTGGTTCTCCACCTTCCTAACGCTCTGACCCTGTAAGATAGTCCCTCATGCTGTGGTGACCCTCAACCAGAACATTATTTTCATTGCTGCTTCATAACTGTAATTTTGCTGCTGTTATGAATCATAATGTAAATACCTGATATTTCCAGTGTTCTTAGGCAACCGCTGGGAAAGGATACGTCCACCCCCAGGGGGTCGTGACCCACAGGTTGAGAACTACTGTTGTAGAGCCCGTCAAGTTGACAATTAATATGTCCTCAGGGACAGATTTTCCTTTGCCCTTGAGGGCGACTCTCAGAGCGTCTCTGCCACACGCTGGGCAGATGGAAGCAGGCTCTTGGGCAGAAAGTTCCTGTCATGGCAGCAGCAGAGTCATGTCTGATAGGAGAGAACATTCTCCCCTGCTGGATGAGGAAGGAGCCAAGACGGGGTACAATTTCAACAGGTTAGAGAGAGAATCCTCCAGCACAGGCCCTTCCCCACTACTGCACACGCTTTTGTAGGAACTGGAACAGAGATGATAAGTTGTGATAGACGAAGAGCTATCCCACGATGACAGGCCGTGTGACGGGATGGTATTTTGGGCCGGGGCTGGAGTTAGTTAATTACAGTACTACCCGAGCTCAGCGTCCCCACTCCTCTCGCTGTGCTGCTGGGCTCTCGCACGCGTGGATTGTAGAGAAGGGGATTGTTGGAGTCTAATTTCCAGCCTTGTTCCACTAATGGCTCCTTGTGGGATGATGTTAAGTAATGATAATTATCACAGAGCCTGTGCTCTGAGCCAGTCTTGCCATCTGCAGCTGTGGCCTGCGGGCTCTGCCATTTCTCTGGAGATGGGTTGGGAAGGCTGGTCTACAGATGTTTGCTGATCGCTTCCTCTTGCCCTTTGTAATTTGGGTCAGTGTCACCAGATGAACGCGGGGGGCCTTGAGCTTAGCACTGGGGGGTCTAACAGTTTAGGCGTTTCGCAGTCACCCGTACTTCCAGGCAGGGGACCTTGTGTGTCACATAGAGGCATAAAAGCAGAGCGCAGCTTTAGGGAATGATGATAACAGTGATGACACGGCAAGTCCGTATTTTAAATTCTGAAACAGTTGTGTGTGTTCCGGTGTCTGAGTTCTGGGGTCAACCATGCCTGGCTTTATGTAGTGCTGGGGAGTCAAACCCAGGGCTTCATGCCTGCTAGGCAAACACTACATCGACTGAACTACTTGCTCAGCTCCCGGCTACGTGTTTTCAAAGAATTACTTTATTTTTATTTATGGGTCTCTAGGTGTGCGCTTGTGTTGCTACAGAGATCAAGAGAGGGTGTTGGATCCCTTGGATCTGGAGTTCCAGGCAGTTGGGAGCTGCCGGATGTGGGGGCCGGAAGCTGAACTCCAGCCCTCTCCGAGAGCAGCAGTTGCTTTGAACTCTGAGGCTTCTCTTCAGCTCCCAGTTACATTTTGAGAATTTCAGAGAAAACAAAGGAGAGCTCGAAGGCAACGGTGTTGACAACTTTGTTTCTCCTTGGTGTCCTACATCCCACATCTTCTTTCTTCCCCCTCTCCCTCTTCCTCGGGTGTGTGACTTCCTCCTTCCCTCTTTCTCCAGAGCTAGGAGGAAACTCAGCCTACAGTTCTGTTCCCTTGGGTCACACTGTCTAGTCACAATCAGATTATCTCCCCGTCATAAAACACCACTTGTGTCTATTATTTTCATTGGCTCAGTACTTTGCCAGATGGCTATACCATTGTTTTCTAAATCATCTCTATGCTGTTGATCATCTCAGTGTGTTTTAAATATTTTTGCTTTATAAATAACATGATGATGGATGTGAGAATAAACTTGTCCATTTCTTTGGGATAAATTCTTAGAAGTTTAGGGATGAGATCGAAATGTCTCTGTTGCTTGAAACAATGTTAATTGCTCTGTTTTAAAATTTATAGTTATTGAGAAAGAAGCCTGTCCCTGTAACTTCCAGGTAATGATGACAGATTGAAGATTCTAATTATGTTCCTCCACCCCCCTCCCCACCCTACTACAACAGGCTGAGTTTAAAAAGATAGAAACTTTCAAGAACATTCGAGGAGAACAGCAGTGCCGTGTGGAAGTCTGGGAACAGATGGGTGAGTGGCGACTGCTTCAGCAGATTTGAGAGGGCTGAATCCCCAGCCGGTGGCTGAGAAAATGGAAAATCAACCTAATGTACACAGTCGAGCTCTCAAAACATGCAGGAGTGGGTGGTAGCAGGTGAGTCTCCATGAAGGGGAGGATTGTTTTAGAAGCAGTCAGATCTGAGATCCCTTTCCAGTGTTCCTTTTCAGGGTGGGAACACCTTACCTTCTTGTAGCTGGGATGTTATTCTCCAGAGGAGAGGAAACTGAGAACTGGGGACCTTAGCAGGTGGTTGCCGGGATCACAAATTTCTCTCCTCTCAAACTCCTGGAACACTGACTCTAGGATGGAGCCTGAAGAAGTCTCTTTTAGAGAGGACAGACTGTTTTCCAGATGGACTTACAGGGACCTTCATAGTTGACTTCTCACGCCCACTCGTGTGTGGCTTCTTTGTGTGTGGGTGTGTGTGTGGTGTGCATCTATGTGTGTGTGCATGCGTGTGTCTGCGCATGTGCAGAAACCAGAGGAAAACATTGAGTTTCTTGCTCTGTCGCTTTCTGTATGTTCCAGTTTCATTTCTGCTACTGTGAGAAAAACAAAAAAACAAAAACAACAAAAAACCTCTAATGAAAACAACCCGGGGAGGAAAGGGTTTATTTAGTTGACATATCCGGAATCCCAGCCCACGGAGGGGAGCCACAACAGGAACTCAAAGAGGGTGGGCATCTGGAGTCAGGAGCTGATGCAGAGACCGTGGAAGGGTGCTGCTTACTGGCTTGTTCCTCATGGCTTGCTCAGCCTGCTTTCTTATAGAACTCAGGACCATCTGCCCAGGGTAGAATCTCACCCACAATGGGCTGGGCCCTCTCATATCTACCGTGTACGGCCAGATCTTATGGAGGCATTTCCTCAATTGAGGTTCCCTCCTCTCAGATGAATTTAGCTGTGTCAAGTTGGCATGAAACTATCCAGCAGACCCGGTGAGCAGCAAGCCCGAGCAATCCTCCTGTCTCTGCACCCACAGTATCGGAACTCGGGTTCTCCTGCTTGCACAGTCAACATTCTTACTCACTGAGTCATTTCTCCAGTCCTACTCTTGTGATTTCTAAATAGATAGTTTAGTTTCTCATTAAAAAAAAAATATTGATGTGTCTGTGTGTGTGCCTGTCTGAGTTTATGTGCAAGCAGGTGTCTGTGGAGGCCAGAGGTCACTGGGTCCCCTGGAACTGGAGTTACAGAAGGTTGTGAGCTGCCTCATATGGGTTCTGGGAACCAAACTTGGGTCCTCTGCAAGAGCAAGTCAATTCTTAACTACTGAGCATCTCCCCGGCCTCCTCCTGACTGACTCCTCTTAGTGCATGAGAACAGCACAGACGGTCAGCTTTGCAAAGACTTTCTAGCCTCAAAGAAAGAGAACAAGGCAAGCTTCCAGAGATCGTGGATCCCTCACACCACACACAAAAACCAGTTGGAGATGGAGTACAAAGCTAACTGCGAGGGGAAAAATAAAGCTTCTAGCAAAAACATGAGTATGTTATCATGACCTCCAGGTAGGCAAATATTTCTTTAAAAAAGATGATTTTAGTATTAATTATGTGTGTGTGGGTATGTGCATGTGGGTGCAGGTGCCTGTAGAGGCTAGAGGCATTGGATCCCCGGAGAGTTACAGTTACAGGGAGCTGGGAGCTACCCAGCATGGGTGTTGGGAACCAGAGTCAGATTCTCTGCAAGAACAGCACTGGCTGTAAACTGCTGAGCCATCTCTTCGACCCCCAGAGATTTCCTAAAATAAGACACAAAAGGCACTAATTATAACATAAAAGATTAATTATTGGTGGCTCATTAAAATCTAGCATTTCTGTTCCTTAAAAGATGTCATTTAGAGAATAAAAAAAAAAAAAACTAAGCCACAGAGCGGGACTAGATGTTTTCAGTTCATGCCTTAGGCAAATGCTTCTATCCAAATCATCCAGGAACCCATTTTACATTAGTTCACTGCCCCCATTCCAACCCCAAAGATCACTGAGAGCTTGGAAGTCTTTTAGAGAATTTTTTTTTTTTTTTGAGACAGGGTTTTTCTGTGTTGTCCTGGCTGTCCTGGAACTCACTCTGTAGACCAGGCTGGCTTCAAGCTCAGAGATCTGCCTGCCTCTCGCTCCCGAGTGCTGGGAGTAAAAGTGTGTGCATTGCCATGCCCAGCCTGAAAGTCTTCTGGTAGTGCAAAGCCCAGAATAAGGAACAGAAAAAAAGTCAGAGAATCTCACAGCAATTGAACAAGAAGACCAAGAGCCGAAAAATAAAAAGCTTAGAAAACCGATGGATCATCTCAGAAGCTAGGAGGTCAGGAGACAATAGTGGCATTTCAAGGAAATGACCCAGACAAGAGGACCAGCCCTCAGCCCAGAAGAGCGCAGGAGTGTACAATGTGTCAGGACAGAATTTAAGAACTGTACATCTTGTGCATCCATTTTTTTTTTCAGTAAACAGCAGTGAGTTTATGTTTAATCAAGTGATAAACAAAAAGAAACCAGAGAAGCAATGGGAGGAGAGAGAAGGTCTTCTGGGATGGCAGGAACGACCCTGGTCCCTGATGGGCACCAGATAGGAAAGGCACCACATCAGAGCAGTGGGAGTCCCGAAGGGAGCCAGGATGCCCATCAAGATGTCCCTTGCTGGTCTATAGTTGTCTTTGTACTAAAAGGATTGTTTATCTTGCTGGGGATCAAACCCTGGGCTTTGCTCTTCTTGTGCCGGGAGAGCACTCTACCACTGAGCCATGAAATACACAATAAAAATAATAAATTATTTAAGTTTTTATTTATATTAAACATTTAAAAATATATAAATATATTTTTATATTGTGTGTGTGTGTGTGCATGAGCGCACATGTGCATGTGTCTGTCTGTCTATCTGTGTGAATGTATGCCACATGTGTACTTGTGGAAGCCAGAAGGGGACATTGGATCCCTTGTAGCTGGAGTCACAGGCAGTTGTGAGCTGCCATGTGGATGCTGGGAACCAAACTTGGGCCCTCTGGAAGAGCAGCTGAACCATTTTTTCAGTCTCTTAAAATATTGCTCTCTCTCTTCCTATAGATCAATCCATAATCTCTCTCTCCTCTCCAATCTGTCATTTCTCTACCCCATCAATCAATCAATCTTGTCTATCTAATATGTCAACTATCTAGCTGTCTGTCTATCTATCTATCTATCATCTATCTGTCTACCTACCTACCTACCTTGGTTTGGGCCATAACCTTGGAAGACACAATTTCAGACACCATAATCTCAAATATCAAAATCTTGAAAATTTAAGATCCTGACAATAAATTCTGGAAGAAATAATTTAATTGTTTGAAAAAGACTTTTATTCACATTTTGAAAATTAGATTTGGGAAGAATATCAAAACAATATTTCATGAGCCACTTACCATAGCAGGCAGGTAAATCATGGCATATATTTTTGCAGCAGTGAGTACCAGACATACTAACACTTGCGTGGGTGCACCAGTTCTGAGCCGATGAACTGTGTTCATGGGGACAAAGGTCAAAAGCAGAAGGTCTAAATGAATGTCACTGTTTGTGGTACTGGGTGCACCCAGCATTATAACTGTCATTGTCTGAAATATAACAAAAGGCAACCTAAGTCTTTGAAGAGATTCCACAAAACCCACCACGTGTCAGCACTGCACACACAGGTGCCCAAAAGAGCTGAGACCTTGGGAGATTTTCTCTCTCACAAATGCAGGCACACAGAAGGATACACCTTCATTCACTGAGGATTGGAACAATTTTTATGCATGTGCACAATACCTACCCACAAAGTCCAAGTTTGTGAGGGCGATAATGCATTTCCTCAGACTCCAATTTGCAATACATGCATAAAATGAATTTAAAACTCTCCAGAAGTCTTTACACAATTCACATCCCTCATATTGACGAGATGCTCGGCAATGAAAGAGGAAATGCGCAGCAGAGAGACTTGTAAAAAGCAACGCCGACGTAGGAGGACAGCGTTATACACTGCATGTTTATAAAAACGATTTCGACTCATTTATAGCATATTTCTTGGAGAGCCTGCACAGGGGTCAAGGCTTATTATGGATGAAATGAAGAGAGCAGAGGTGAACCGGCTGCCCTTCCTGCCGATTGTCATCCAGAGGGAAGCGACAGGGTCAAGCTCTGCAGTCATAAAAATAAATACATTGTTACAACGGGTGATGAATACCATAAAGAGGAATTTCAGGTTGAAAAAGACTGTAAAACAAAAGAAGTCGCCTGTGCATTAATACTGTTTTGGTAAGGCATTTTCTTAAGTTGCTGTCTACTCACTTTTATTTTCCTTTATTCCAACAAATGGGTATCAATGTGTCTTATTTTATTATTGCTGTGATGAATATTATTGTATTATTGCTGTGATGAAACTCTTAAGACCAAAAGCAACTTTAGGAGGAAAGGGTTTATTTGGCTTCCACTTCAGCATTGCTGTTCATCACTTAAAGAAGTCAGGACAGGAACTCAGAGCAGGAACCTGGAGGCAGGAGCTGATGCAGAGGCCATGGAGAGGTGCTGTCTACTGGCTTGTTTCCCATGGTTTGCTCAGCCTGCTTTCTTATAGAACCCAGGACCAGCAACCCAGGGACGGCACCACCCACTATGGGCCGGGCCCTCCCACGCCCATCATTGGTTAAGAAAATGCCCTACAGACTTGCCTACAGCCTGATCTCATAGAGACATTTTCTTTTTTAGCCTTATTTGTCCTGGAACTAGCTCTGCAGACCAGGCTGGCCTCGAACTCACAGAGATCTGCCTGCTTTTGCCTCTGAGAGCTAGGAATAAAGGCGTGCACCACCACCTCTCAGCTATGGAGACGTTTTCTTAAATGAGGCTCCTTCTTCTCAGATGACTTTTAGTCTTATGTCAAATTGACATAAAATTATCCAGCACACAATGTAAATGGTAAATATGACAACTGATTAGAGAATATGTTTGAACCAGCTTTGTTTATTTTTATTTTTTGTTTTGTTTTCTTTTTTTTTCCCTCTTGTTAGAGCTGAGGACCGAACCCAGGGCCCTGCGCTTGCTACGCAAGTGCTCTACCATTGAGCTAAATCCCAAACCTCTATTTTTAGTTTT